CTGAAGCGACTGCGGCTCACTTATAGTGCTGCGTTTTAACCCGTTGCGCCACCAGGGAGGGCCTGAATCTCCTGAGAGCAAGGGCCTTGACTCACTCTTCCTCTATTTCCCCCAGGGCTCTGCCCAGGTTTGTTACTCACTTGTACTAATAAGTGGGAGCCCCAGGGGGACACCCCAGCCCTTCCCTTTGGTGCAGGTCTATGAAATGAGTTAGGTTCTGGTCGAGCCTTGGAGATGCAGGTCTGCTCTAGGCTCAGAGGCTCAACCTTTGGGTTCCAGATTGAACTGGACCCCGGTTCCCCTAATGCTTACCCTGACCTCACCCTGCCTCCCTCAGGGCCACTGGCCCACGAAACACTACAGGGAAAGGGGAAAACACTCCAGTACAGATCTGTGCCTCAAGCCCCTACCTCAGTCTCTCTGTCGCCAAGGAGAACCATCTAGAATCGTCACCCAAGTACCAGTCCAGTCCCCATGGCAGCAAGAGGCAAGACATGCTGGTGCTGCCTCAAGCCCACCTCTGCCATTAGAGCTGGAGACGGTCCTGAAGACATGGGCTTTGAGACAAAAACTTTGAGGAGGGCAGGCTAGACATCCTGTGGTGCCTGACCGCAACTCCAGGAACACTTTGTCCTCTGCCTCTCTTAGCACAGAGGAGCGGGGGTTTCCCCTGGGGGTCGAAGGGCAAGGCAGTTGAGGACCCATGTTAACCACCAGCAGAAGGGGGGGCGGGATGGCCTTGCCTTCCGTGTACCTTGAGGCCCAGTCCCTGGGGGCGGTAGAACTGGAGATTTGGATCCACCGCTGGAATGTTCCTGTTGGCCAGAGCCTTGGCCAGCTCTCTCCAGCTGCCATATCCTATGGAGGGAAAGAAGAGAGGAATGAGGTCACCATCCTGTAAAGATTCATAGATCTATACAAGATGGGGGGATAAGAGAGGAAATCGTCTTCCCTCTGGTGCCCCTCATCCTTTTCCACACAGTAGGTATGAAATATACGTGTGTTTGATGGGGTGGGGGAATGTTGGGAGGGAGTTTTGACCTTGGCCAAGGTGAATAGCGCACAGTGAGAGGACACACGCTCATATCTCATTAGAATTTGCCATCTTGCGGCCCTCCCTGGTGGCGCAACGGGTTAAAGCACAGCACTATGAAGAGAGCCACACTGCTTCAGCACAAGTTCAATCCCCGGCCAGGGAGCTGACCCACATGGCTGGCAGACCTCTCCTGACCTGCCTGCTGTTCCCCTCAGCAGTGTATTTCAGTCCATCTGCCTGTTCTGCTCCCCACTCTGTCCCTGGTGAATCCTCTCACCCCCTGTACCTCTGGCCTGAACCCCAGTTCTGTATGCATAAATAAACTCCAAGTTTTGGTCCTGGCCAGAGAGAGAAGGGTGAACTTGGAGGGAATTCAAGGGAAGAGACCAGGATTCAGGGGCCTTTGAAGTTCCTGTAAGGAAGCGGAGGGTGAGGATACCCAG